TGTTTGTTCTGGCGGATAGAGTTTGGAAACACTCCAAATACAGAAATCACATCATCGAATTGTGAGAATTCGTCCTGAATTGCACTTACTGCCGTCGAGCAGAAAAATGGCGATCAATACATGCGAAAATTTGATTCTGAGTTGTTTGGCCAAATTAAATTACAACGGCTAAGCCACTACCGAGGTGGCTGTTGTGATAGCGGGACAAAGACACTTCATATGAAAAGTGCCAGTTTATTTAAACTTTATTTCGTTCGCTTATAGCTTTATGTAGGTTGGAAACTCTTCTGAACCTCATACTCAGAGGAAAATGCCCTGGGGACGAGGTTGGATACGTTCCCATGATGCTCTGCGTCGCCTCGCTGATTTCCTGTGTTTCCCGCCCCAAACCTGCAAAGTAGGCGAAGAACGATGGTACTTTATTTGGTACTAATGCTCTTCCGCCATCTTGGACTTTGAAACTAACAGGGAGGTTTTTTGCAGGTTATCCCGCTCTGACCAGTGAACTCTCGAACAGGAAATCACTGATAAATCGCAAAGAATTTATCTCTGAATAGGCCACTTGCACTAAGATATCACGTGACTAACGCTTCCTTTAAACAATGAGTTGGAATCTTGCTGATGCCAAAAATTGACAGAGCACCCGAAATTTGAGAGGAAACGCATTTAAGAGAGATATTTTATGGCACTTTGATTTTTCAACAAACTAGTATGATTTGTTTTGGCCGCCATGTTGGAGGACATACTCTTGCCCTCAAACATGGCGGCCAAAACTACTTTTTTCTTATATCTTGTTAAACGTTTGATAGTTACGCTCAAATATGTTGTAAACGTTACCACATCATCTTTTCAACATTTCCCTTGAAGTTTAAGTGCAAAATTTGTGTTTAGAAAGAGGTAATTCAAAATTTTAAACATCACATTTTGGTCCGCTTAACCAGCTACCACCTCATTTTAAGAAAATGGTGCGAGTTTGATAGATATGACCAGGAGCTCCTGATATGACCTACTAATCGTTTTTGGAAGGCAAAATCATACAACTTTCATTTTCATAAAAACGATGTCACATGACCTCCTAATGCAAATTGCTTATTAGTCAGTCAAAAGTGACTACCAGCAGGAAACTGCTTTAACTTTCAACCCAAGTTCAACCTTCATCACATCGCAGTAAAGAGAAAAGAAAAGTAAGAAAAAAACAGTAGGTAAATTTAAGTAGAGGAAAAATGAAAGAGAAAAAAGAAAGAGACTCAGAAAAGGAAATGGCTTTAACAAATCACCTGCAATATGTGTCAGAAAACGGGTCTTAATTAACTCACGTGTTGGTGGCGCCATTTTCTTATCACTAGGAGCTGGAGGAAGTACCGTTACGTTGTCAGACCAAATGCTAAGCCGCTGACGTTAACTGACCATCGGAGCGTGAACCTAATGGGCGAATAAAGAATCATAATTTAAAACAAACCATTGGAGCGTCATATGTGACACACTACTAGATTCTTGTTGGTCATTCATTTTGTCGAATAGACTCTATAAATGTTTTTGTTCTTTTAATCCGTGTTCCATTGTTAGTTGCGCGTTGTTAACTCAAGTTTTCAGCATATTTAGCGAAAATGTGATACCGGCTCTGCCTGTGAGTGCTGATTCAAGTCATATCTGGTGTTGCTCGAACGAGTCGATGATTTGGATTTGTTAAGAGATGCCGCAGCCGTTAATACTTTTCTTCTAAAGAATAGTAAAAATAAAAGGGTTTTCGACACCAATGATATCTAATCACAGTTAAGGCATTTACCTTCACCCCTCAGGCCAAATTAAGACCGGTTTCTTCTCGACCTTTGCCGTTTCACTCTTTCTTCATCAACAGTTTTACTCTAGAGCTGGTTATTATCCAAAAAACCGTTGTACTAATGGTAACAGGGTCAAAGAGATTTTCTTTGGTTCCTGATTAATCTCCTTTTTCTTTCTAGAACTTCAGTGCAGTTCAGAAGGATTTGTACAGTTCTCAGTTCTCAGCACTCACAATATATATAACACAAATTAACATAGATTTTGCTTCATTCCGTGTCATAGTATATATAGTCAGAACGTACCTTTAACATTTTCTTTCATTTCGTCCGGCATATTCGGCGGAATAAACCAATCTTGATTTTTTTTGTCGGGGGGATAACTTTTTTTAGATGTGATGTTTACAAAGAAGATCGTAAATAAAAGTAATGAAATGCATGCGTTCCCTTGATAATTAAGGTTTTCAGTACCCGGGGGTGGAAGTTATTAAAAAACCCTTAAGTTTTTAAGGGCGCTTTTCATTTAACCAAAAGAACCTATATCATCCAAATGCGGAACTTTCCCACACAGGTTTAGGCAAATGTTTAAACTGAGCTCAGCGATAATCCAATACTTGGTGAAGTCAGTATAAATTTATGGGTAGACTGTCTAATGCCGATAATAACCCAACAGTCAAGCATACGAAGAGCTCACGGATTGCCGTTCTGAAAGCCTTACACTGTTTTGTAAGTAGCTCCAAACAAATGTTGTGAAGCTGTTATCGTTGTGAGCAAGAGGAACAAAAGTGCTGTGTGCGTCAGTAATCAGCCCACTCTTTTCGCAATTGTGGGATCCGAGTTCCCGAGAATACCTTGCCAGTTGCCAGATAGACCCATGCGTATACTGAGTAAAAGCAGGTGGAGAAATAGAACAGCCTCCCCCCCCCACCCCTTCCCTTTATACTTGCATAGTTGAAATAGTAATCAGGGTAGGATGTGAGGCATAATAAGGAAGCTTACGCTATAAAATTTAAAAATTAAAAATATTATATTTTCTATATATTCAGAATTTTTGATTTTTAAGTTATTTCACTGATCCATCATGGTATGACCCGCAGTTTCTATATTTTGTCACATGATATTGGTCTGTTGCCATGCAGTATACACTTGTATTTGAAACATCTCCATAAACACAAAAATGTAGTTCCGGTGTCCATGAATCGCGGAAGTTGCCACGCAGTGGTCAATAACACTCTTTCCGAGGCAAGTTTTATTGATTCACGGTACGTACTGGCGCCTTTTAAATTAAATTTCCCAATTCTCTATGGTCAGTAGCCGGTTGGCCCTAGCCTCGTCCACGGGCCAGCCTGGGCTTTCCAAGTTCTCCCGACAAGTTTGACAGGTGACGTCACACTATCAGAAATCGCTGAGGACGACTGGAAACGAGGCTGAGTTGGCCCCAAAATTCCGGCTAAAAGGTGCGGGTTGGATCATGTGCATGAGCATATACTTCCTGTATGTTTACCGTGGCTTTCAGCTGTCGAAGTAACCAGCTACAACGTCATGAACTTGCATGATTACCTAAAATACAGACGTCAAGGCTTCGGCCTTAGTTACCACTGCAAACAAATAAATTAACAGACAATTCAAATTACTACTGAATGAAACCACGCAATAAAATAATAAAAATATGACAACAAAAAAAATAACAATAGCAATAATAGTAATAATCTTAGGGCTAGCGGGTAACCGCTTACCCTGGGTGCCATAGGCTTTTCATGCGCGGTTTCCGGTTTCGGTCAAGTCGTATCTTAAGCCTACGGCCGAAGACCCATCGGCCTGTTTCCGACAAAGCTTCACGTCGCATGGGAGAAAAAAACAGTGGTACCCATGGTAGTAACCGCTTTACACCGAGTCAGTTCTCCGTATCACAGAGGTTGAGATTTCAATCGTGAAGTTTGCATTTTTGTGACCAAGCTAAAGGAACTGTTTGTAATTTAGAGGCGTATTATTGTTCTGTCACTAAAGAGGGTTTGGACTCTATGTTGTAGATATTTTTAAATTTTTAATCTCTACATAACTGGGATTTCAGTGGTACACACCCTGGAATGCAAGAGGTCCGAAAAATGCAGCAAGTTGTATTTAAGCCGACACTCAAGGTTACTCTGACTGCTTTTTTTTTTTGAAATAACAGCTACTTTGTTCTGGCATTTCATGTCCATATAAAAGGACAACACTGATTATGGTCTGTGTGCCCGGTTGAAGATTAAGGGACAGGGAAACGTAGAGTTAAGGGGCTCAAAAACGTGATTGGCGCTCGCATCCGCGAGGAAGGAGTTTCTCATCCCTCTCTCCTCGCTCGATCATTCAGTCCTAAACATATATTTCATGCAAAGCAAGTGTCCTTCTTAAATTAAATATATGTTCTCAGTTTGCCATATTGGAAAACAGGAAGGCCCTTACTGAATTCAAGGAGGGAGAGTGCCTTATCCAACCTAAAAAAGCCCTAGGAAGGAGATTGTGCCCAAGAGAGGATAAAGGGGACAGAGAAGGCATCCCCCATACACACCCTATTCTATAGGTAATTCGTCTCGAGTTATTTTTAAGACCACAGATCCCAAGGGGGATTAGACAACAGCCAATCACATAGCGCGAATGTGTTCCGCGTGGATGATCCACGCTCAGAGCCACGCGTCCTTCACAAATTGACACTGAAAGAAAAAGCGGAAGACGCGGAGAGCGATATTGCTATTCGTTTTGTCGACGAAAACGACTAAAGAGAGATTTCTACTAAAGTGGTGTCAGCGAAATGGAAATTAAAAAAAGAATCGCCCTTCCTCTCTTGTATAGAGCTAACAGTACAGCAGGGAAATCCTGAACACACTGAATATTCTCTCAGGCCGATCATTTATAATTTACAGTTTGAAGGGAGCAATTTCTGGTTTGATATTTCTTATTTTACTAGTCTTTTATTATTCAACAAAAATAACACTTGGCGTCCTACTTGCTTTATTGTACAAACGACCGGTTTCAATTGACCGTAGAAATTTCTCATTTTATTAAAGCACTGAGGTTACGACAACTTCGGGTTAAACTGATTTCACGGGTTGTCAAAGACTCCAGCGATTCCCTTTTTCCAGGTGAGCGCCGACTCATTTCACTTCAATGTTCACAACTGCTCATGGAGCTAGCGGAACCGCCGCCTTGGAAAGAGCGCAAGTGGCCCAGGCAAGTCCCCGGAGTTCCCCGGGGACAAGGACAGTAAGAGGGAGGACTGGTGACTGGCGCTCTATTTTCAATATGGCGGATGCTTCTGTGCAAGACATTGTAAGCAAAGTTCGTGGCATTTTGTCCCCGGTCGGACTTGAATCGTATCCTTTTAAGGTAAGTATTTTCTTTAACAAGCCTCATAATACGTTTATTAGGGGATGCTTTGTTGACGGGGTGTTTGAAAGTTGAGATGATTGCGATTTTTTGCATGAAGTTGGCAATATTTAAGACTCATATAGGCCGAATGCAGACAAAAGTACGCAATTTAAGTTAAAAGACAAATGATACAGTTGGTAAAGTCTACGATACAAAAAATCAAGCTGACTAGGTAGAAGACAGGCTCAAAACACTCTGCTCGAGGCCAAATTATAAGGATTTGTATTGAAATTTAGGGTGAGTTTGATAAACCGCCGGTTAAAATGTAGTTAACAGGCATTAAAAGGTACAAACCTTATAAAAATAATCATGTCTTTCTGATGTTAACCCTAGGCAGGAGGGGGGGGGGTGGGGGGGATTGCTGTTTGACAGTATATTTTGGAAAAAACAATCTTCACCCCATACTCTACTGCCCCTCCCCTTCCACCCTCCCACCTGCTGGCTTTGTATATTGAAAGGTGGCTGATTACATTTTCACGTTACACAATGTGGGATAAAGTAACTGTTGACTCTATTATGATAAGAGGCAATCCACTGCTCAACTAGCAGCTGCCTGTGATTCTCTGTGTATGATGTCACATGGCTGTGTGTCATCTGGAAGAGATTTTGCTCAACATAAGTGATCAAAAGATCTCACCCATTTATCTTGGTTTCATTCACACCTAGAGTGATTGGCCCTGATCAGCTCTGAGTGTATGCCTCTGTTTAATAAATATGATTGAAATTTTATTCACCTGATCTTTAAAAGAAATTAATGTTTAAAATTGCCTCTCGAGATAGCTTTCTGGATCCTCTGGTGTCCATTTAGTCCTCAAGAATTTAACTCAACCTGTCTCCAGCTGTAAGAATAATGACAATTTTGTCCTTAAAATGAGCATAACCAGTTGAATGACATGATTTTTTTCGGATAATGTTTTGTTATCTCTTCAGATTGGTTGGTACAATGATCAGCTTATCCACAAAGCATTCCAGCTTCTCCACCCATATGACACCCTTGCTCTTGTTATCATTAGTACTCCCCATATGTTTGAAGAGGGATTCAAGCCATTCATACTGGAAAGCTCCTGCATTGAAGGGCGAGACCCAGTTGATGAATTTATGGCCCATTTCTTTGAGAAAGTCAAGTGTCACTTTCCACAACATGACATAGAAGTTATCCATGACTTTGAAATGCTCCCCAGTAGAAGACCAAAAGTGTTAGTCCAGACGGCAGCCCATGTTGGTGGCGCGGCTTATTACTACCAACGCAACAGTGTGTCAAAGGAGAAAGATCCTTGGGGCGAGAAGACTAAGATTTGTGGTGTAAGTGTGCATGCAAAATATGGCGGGTGGTTTGCAATAAGGGGAGTGATTATTTTTAAAGATGTTTTAGCCCCCAACTTACCCAGAAAGGAACCTGAAGATGTTGTGCAGGGAGATGAAAAGCGAATTGAATTGCTTGAGCGGTTTAATTTTCATTGGAAGGACTGGAGCTTCAGGGATATTGTCCCCACAGAGGCCAAGTATTCAGAGGAGCAGAAAAAGTACTTTGCTACTTTACCTGCCAATCGGAAGGAGCTTCTGGAATCTTTCAGGGAAAAGGCAGGCACTCCAGTTTAGTCCTTGTTATGGCATAGTTTTTTAGGAATATTTAACAAGGCCATTCCCTTTTTTCTCTGTTACATGTTGTCTTACCCATCCATTCATTTGCCATCATTTATAAAAAAAAATTGCGTGGAGGGAGTTTGTGATGCAGACTTGCCAACCACCAAAAGGCAAAAAATGAGAGACTCTCAGCCTAGAGCTGGGAGAAGTAGTGAGAAATGGGTAAAAAAATCAGAAGATGTCCCAAATTTCCTAGTGGAAAGACTTCCAGTAGGTATTGTGAGTATTGGAAGTCACATTTACCCACAATGCTGCAGCAGCAGTAAATATCACGATTAATTTTACAATTTAGGTTTTTTAATTTTTCATGTCTTCAGTGTTGGTGGCCATCTTGAAATAAGAGAAGCAGTAAGTCTGCACATTTAATGGCAGCAACATTAAGTCATAGTAGGCTAAAAGAATGTATTACTAATCAAACACGACTGCTAATCATTTTCTTTGGATTGAGCTGGCTACCTATCGATATTTACCTGTAACTTGAAATGGAACCTTACAACTCCAAAATCCACATTTTTTTTGGAGTTTGACTTTTTGAGAAAGCATGAGAAATTAGTTGTCAACTTGTGAGAAGGTGAGATATAGGAATGCCAACCTCTGGAAATCTAAAATCTGGAGACCTCTCTCATTGGCATTACCCCCCTTCATCCCCCCCCCCCCACCACCACCAATATTAACAACCAAATTTGCTGGAGTAAAACAGGGAATGGCCTTTAGAAATAAAAGATCTACCCGCGCGTCTTGTTGAGTGACATGAGTGTACAGGTGTTAAAAAGACCAGAACAGTCTCTAGAGAAGCAGAAGCCAGCGGGCACTAGTTTCTTGGGCTTTTTGAGTGTTTTTACTTAGGTGTGCTTTATAAAACTCAATGCTGTATAGGGCAAAAGTTGCCTTTAATTCTTTCATAAAGTGGCAAATAATAATAAGGCATAATATAACTATGACATAGGCTGTGTTTCGATATCACCATAAATTATGTGGATGTGCATTGCATGAGGCATGAACGTTATGATATTGGTGTGTTGTAAAAATTATATAATCATTCTCACCAATCAGGTTTTGCCTTTCTGTTAACACTCTATTTGACAGACACCTTCTTAAAACAAAAAACCTGAGATTTACAATGTAGTTCCTGCTGTTCTTTCTTCATTTCATTTGATTCTCTATTAAGTTAGATGGTAGGCAGCACTGGGGCCTTTGTGTACATATGTATATAAATATCTAATAGGGAGTTGATTGTCCATGAATGTATTCATTATCACTTTAGGGAACAGCGCAGTGTGAGAAAACTTTGTTGGAGACAATAATATTACAATTAAACAATCTGTAAGCAACCAACCAAAATGCAAAGATTTGTTGGTTGCTAGGTTACAGGAGGTACTAGTTGTGTACAAGAATTAAACCTCAGGGTGTCTGATCTGTTCCTTGTCAAGATCAGCACACTGTAATTTCTAAGTTACCCTATGTGTAGTTCCATGTTGTCACTGCTCTGAGTGGTGTGGTACATGGAGCAAAAACTAAGTGATCAGACCATGCATCTAGTGGTCCCTTACAAGAGGCTAAAAACAATGGGTAAGTTTCTACTCAGGCACCCTGCAGTTTCTTAAATATATGCGAGCCATAATGGTGGTTTCAATTTCTAATTATAAATGGTTGTAAATTTTGTTACTGTTATGATAATTGCTCTTGAAGCCTCTTTTCAGTGTTAATCTCTTTTGAACTCTGCACTGGCAATTGGGGCAAAAATGGCTAATTAACATACACATAAAGGAAAAGTAATACAGTTTCCACTTTGGAATAAGGTGACTTATGAGAACTTCTACACCAAAGGTCAAAGATTGATTGTTGAATTACCTGGCCTTCAAGTTATTATCACACTAAACTGCCTGTTCATAGAGGTGTAAATTTTGGATTTTTCTTCAACTTGCAAACATATGTGTTGTATTTACTTTTTATTTTAAAGTGTCATCAGTTCAGATTTTACAGATTATAATATACTGTGCGGCAGATTAGGGTTAGGGCTGGGTTTAAATTGCTACCATTGCAGGTCAGATTTTAAAACAATTATAAGACAATTTGGGGTAATATAGATATTTGTAGCAAGCTCTCTCAAATAAAATTATTTAGTTATTAGAAGTCGCTAGCCCATGTAAGAGACTCCCCTGAATGAAAGAGGCAGGATGTTCATTTTAATGTGATCTAGTTTAATAGTTGGTATGAGATAATGCATGTTTTTTTATTTTTAACCATGCAGGTATATAATTATCAACTAGGGATTTGTGTGAAAAACCTCTGAAGAGGTGATAGTCTGCATGTACGGTCGGGATGAAGCAAAGGTTGAGGCACCCAGGATTAACTCCAATTTTCTGATGAGTATCTTTCACTTCGCCTGACTTTCAAGTAGGACTCCTTCCTGGGTTCACTAGAGCTGTTTTTAAGCTTAGTAGAGATGAAGAACTACTTAAATAAGTTGTATATAGTATATAATTATATTAGAGAGCTAAAGTAAATATGTGGAAGAACAATAATGGCATCGTTATCGCTCCTTATTTTCCAAAGGAAGGTGTTAGTCACGTGACAAGAAGCAATAAATTGAAGACACAATTAAGTTAAATTGTTGTCTGGCTTATGAGTTATTGTGTTAACTGAATTGCTTAGTACATGTAGTTCTTTCTAGTCCAAGACCAATTTTCCCCCACTGTAAAATTCCGAAAATAAGCCCCGGGGCTTATATTTTTCAAAGGCCCTTTTTGAGGAGCTTATTTTTGGAGGGGCTTATCTACGGAAGGAAATTTGCGTCTCAAAATCGATTGGGCTACCCTTATAGTTAGATGGAAATTTACCGTTTTTGCTTTGTTTTACTTTGTATTTGAGGGCAATTTCCAAGTACAAGCCCCCGGGGGGCTTATATTTGGAGGGGCGATTTAACGGAGGGTTTATTGCGTTACGATTTTGGGGGTTTATATTTGGAGGGGGTTATAAATGGAGGGGCTCATTTTCGGAATTTTACGGTATTCTGTTAACACAGTACTTGGGGGAAAGCAAATTAACAAGTTGGCGTTTAAACCAGCCGGGAGACTCCATGGGCCATGGAATAAAACTAAAGAAGTTTTACAAGCAAAACCTTTCAAGACCATGATTTTTCTACCCTTTTTTTTAGTCTCGTAACTCTGCATAATTGAACAAACCGAGGAAGGACTTCATTATAGTCAACTATGGGGCAACGATAACTAGGAACGAGGTGTCAAACACAAGCATTACAAACAGAAGTTTTCATATTTTATTTCGAAATGTACGCTGAATATTTCCATCACTAATCAATCACTAATCAATTACTAATCAAAATTTCGATTCTCTTACATAGTTGGCTTGGGCTACCTGTGGAACGCGGTATGCGATTCCAAATCGCATTTATAGGCGAGGGAAATAAAAAATTCAGACGAGTTAGTTTTTTGCTTCCTGCGACCGGGAAGGGGCGGGGGAGGTTCGGAGGCCCCCCTCTCTTTAGCTTCCAAACCGCTAATGATAAGGCCATCAAAATTACACAGAATAATGTAGTCATCATTTCCAACATTTAGGGATAACTTGATTAAAAGAATGACGTAATTCGACGTCATTTGGACGTCATATTGTTGAATGTTTTTGCAGATTCCAATTTCCGTCAATTTCCCCCTCAAAATCGAAAAAACTTACATTGTAAGGTGTCTGAATCTTCAACAATAGCAGCCAAGTCATGTTAACATAGAATTTCGAAACTTTTAGAATATTTTGTTTTTTGCTTTCTGAACATCATTTTATACACAGATCAATTTTTCTATCAGGAAATTGAATACATTTAATTAATTTAAAATGGCGGACCAGTTTGGCGGATGGTTCCAGATTCTTCTTTAATAATAAATGACGTCATAGTAACATCGTTATTTATGTGTTAACCAACTTCTTGATTTTGTTAGACACCATACTATTTAAGTATTTTTTGCTGTCGGAGGAAAATTGATAGAATTTGGATTTTAGCAATAAATTCAACAGTACGACGTCATAATGACGTGAAATAAGATCATTGTGCCAATCAAGTTATGCCTAGCTGTTTTCAGTGATAGGCTCATTATTCTGCATAGTTTTGGTGGCTGTGTCATAAGCGGATTTGAAGTTATAGAGGAGGGATCTAGCAGTATTCCCCGCGTAGGAAGCGTAGGTCGTAAGATGCCCGGTCTGAATAGGGTTAATAGAGCGTATAAAATATTGTCGAACCTTTTAAATTTACTCAAAGATTCCGTTAATTACGATAACACTAGTAATAGTTGAAACTGCAGCTTGCCCCCGCTCTGTATGTTCAGGAGTACCCAACGAGAAGAATTTCAAAAGTGATTGGATATCGCCCCCAGTAATATTTTAACAGTCACTAATTGTTTTTTTGGTTTATTATTAACTTCTGTGGCAAAATTTTATCCGCTCCCCAAAGCCAGCTACAGCCAGGATTTTTACCAAGAAGGCATTTCCCCAGCCAGGAATGTCTCTTTCTTCCCTTTTTTGCCAGCACATAAACGCGGGATAAAAATGTCACTGGTCACTCACTGGTCTGTGGAGAATATAAGTCGTCTTCACTTCACTCCAAATGAGAGCAAAGTTGCGAGACCGTAAAGAATAAATTAAGAGTTGGTTCACCTGATTTGAACGCAAACTAATGACTAACACCAAGACTCACTAACAACCACGTTTCCAGGGTTCCAAACACTGGTAACGAGACTGGATTCATTAAGAGAATTTCTAGAAGGCACATTCGCCAAACGTATAACGCGTATAACTCTTCTTTTGCCCCCCCCCCCCCCCCCCCCCCCCCCCCCCCCCCACCCTCCCACAATTTCACTCAAAATAACCTCACCCCCCCCACACAAAACAAAAACACAAAAGACAAACAATTTCATAACATCACACATCAACAACACAATCCAC